AGAACCCCCTTAGCTAATATTCCACCCATGTGATATTTTCATAACTTTAATACACCCTTAGTTGTCTATTTTACTCTTTCAAAACTCTAATCTTATTTTTAATTTTTCATTCTGTCTCTTTTACGTTTTTAGCTTTTCTGTCTTCTCTGTTTTCTCTCCTCTGTTTTTTTTTCCCTCTGTTTTTTCCGGCAATCTTCTCCCCCGTTGCCGGAAGATGAGAAAGAAAGAAGAGGAAGCACCCATCAAACATTATAAATGATTTGGATAGTGATTCTGAATTCGAATGCTAAGATTGTTACATCAACGGCGTAAAGAGGTAAAATTTTCGATTTGTCGCCGGAATCGGATTTTGATGGGTTGTGGTTTTGCTTTGGTTGGTGGTGCGAGTTGTGATTTTATTTATTTATTTGTAATAAAAAACCGTCATAATATCAAAGCAAGAGGGTGATGGTGTGTTGTGGCGGCGGTGTGGTGACGATGGGGAGGCAGATTTAGGGTTTTTTGGTGGATCGGGCAGAGGACGACGCGTGTAGAGAATTTCGCGCAGACTGAAACCTTAATCAACTATGTACATGTTCATAGTCGATTAAGCTAATCAACTATGCTCTGGCAGTCGATAAGGTTGATCGACTCCATTTTTTTGATTTTTTTTGAATTTTTTGTTTATTGATTCCAATTGTACAAATCATTTATAATGTTTGTATATTTTTTTTTTGTAATATATAGTTGATTTTGCATTTTTTCGTAGTTGTGATTTGTTATTTTTAGTAGCAGATTCTTAATCGACTATGGTTTACATCATAGTCGATTAATATGCTTCACTGACTCCAATTTTTTTTTTTTTTGAATTTTTTGTTTATTGATTTCAATTGTATAAATCAATTATAATGTTTATATATTGTTTGTTTTTGTAAAATATAGTTGAGTTTGCATTTTTGTAGTTGTGATTTGTTATTTTTAGTAGTCGGTTCCTTAATCGACTATAGTTCATCATAGTCGATTTAATATGCTTCATAGTCGATTAACATACCTAATAGTGAAAAAAAGTTAAAAAACGAAAAAAATTAAATAAAATTTAAAAAAAAATATTAATTTTTTTTTTAAATAAATAAATAATAATAATAAATTAATAATAATAAAAAAATAATAATAATATTAAAAAAAGGAAAAAAAAAAGAAAGAAAGAGACACAGCTGGTGGGTCATGGGGATAGTGGGCTGATGGGTCATGGGGGTGTGTAAGGTGGAGGGACATAAATGGAAAAATGGGTGACTGGAATTTGGAGTGAGTTTTTCTCAAATGGTGCAAAATAGTTTGGGCATTTCTCTATTAAAAGAAGTATTGAGGGTGTCACTAAAACAAATCCCAAAATTTCCTTAGTTCAATACTACCAAGTTTAAAACCACAATTCAGTACATATTTATAATTTTTTTCTTACTTTAATATTAAAAAGAAATTATAAGTACAAAATACCCTTTCTTACAAAATATCAATTATATCAAAAGATTTAATCTAGGATTATTTCGCGCGCCGAGTAGGGGATGAT